ACACTTTGTGCCTGGCCAGCTCCCCCTGAAATGTAGCAGTATAGTTTTGAACACTAAACCACATGTTTACTGTCTCCTTTGTGTGTCAGATCTTCTTTGTGGAAAAATGTCCTTCTTCCACAAGGAAGATTCTTTAGATGTTTCTGTATCAAAGGTCTGTTGCTGATAAACTCTGTTGTCATTTCTCTGAATAGGCCTTTATTTTCTTCATTCCTGAAAGATAACTCACAGTGCACAATTGTAGGTTGACGGTTGTTTTTCACACCACTTTGAAGATACCATTCCCCTGTCTTCCTACTCCTTTTGTTGTTGAGGCATCAGTTGCCGGTATAATTGTCATTTCTTTTGGGACAACATCTTTTCTACCTGCTTGCTTTGGGGATTTTTTAATTTTTATTTTTAAATTAATTTTTTAAAGTAATCTCTATGGTCCAACATGGGGCTTGAACTCACGACCTTGAGATCAAGAGTGCACGCTCTACCAACTGAGCCAGCCAGGCGCCCCCGCCTTGGGGATCTTAATTTCATCTTTGGTGTTCTGCACCATCCATTCTATATTTGTGTTCTGTTTCATTTTTTAAAATTTTATTTATTTATTTGTCAGAGAGAAAGAGAGAGCACAAGCCAGGGAAGTGGCAGAGGGAGAAGCAGGCTCCCTGCTGAATAAGGAGCCTGTTGGAGGACTCAATCCCAGGACCCTGGGATCATGACCTGAGCGGAAGGCAGATGCTTAACCGACTGAGCCACCTGGGGATCCCCCATTCTATATATGTTATAAAGCACTTACTGTGTGCTGGAACTGTGCCAGGTGCCAAAGATTAAGCAATGCTGAACAAAGTGCCAATATGATAACTATAAATGTGGATTTCTTCTGTTTGGGGATTGCTTGGCTTCCTGAATCTGAGGTTTGGTGTCTTTCCATTTTGGAAAATTCTCTTCCCTTATTCCTTTGAATGTTGCCTCTCTCCCAGGGGCTCCTTCAGAACTCCGATAGAGTTATGTCAGACCTTCTCATGCTATCCCTTGTTTCTTAACCTCTCTTCTTTTGTGTTTTTTGCTCCATTCTGAGTAATTCCTTCAAATACCTCTTCAAGGCTACTGATTCTCTCTTCTTTTTTTTTTTTAAGATTTTATTTATTTATTTATTTAATAGAGAGAGACAGTGAGAGAGGGAACACAAGCAAGGGGAGTAGGAGAGGGAGAAGCAGGCCTCCCCGCAGAGCAGGGAGCCTGATGTGGGGCTTGATCCCAGGACCCTGGGATCATGACCTGAGCCGAACGCAGACGCTTAACGACTGAGCCACCCAGGCGCCCCTGATTCTCTCTTCTGATGTATCTATTCTATGAATTAATCCATCCATTGAGTCTCTAACTGTTCATTTGTAGAAGTTCTGTTTTTTTCCTTTTAAGTTCTACCTGGCACCCCAGTCTCCACATCGTCACATTCCAAAGTCTCCACGTGCACTTGACCATGTCTCCTCTTTGTGGGCCCGTGTCCCGAGCTGTGAAATAAGGTGGATGTAGGAGAAGAGTTTCCATATTGTGTTTTGGGGGCCATATCTCAGAGTGGCGGGGTGGTGGTGCTGGTGGGCTCTGTCAGACCCGCTCTGTTTTATACCCTGTGTAAGATTTCTTTTGAGCCAAGGGTTTGAAATAAAAAACATCTCAAACTGCTAGGCTTCTGGAGCTCTAAGCTCCCTTCAATTTCAAGTCTGTAAATCTGAGTGTAGATCTTCGATATGATAATGTTTTATAATGTTGAATCTATCAATAGTTTTTAGATTCATAGGCATGAACACAAGCCCTCGTCTACCTGGAGAACTGGACCCTCAGGGTTCTGCTGTGGCCAGTGAGGAAAACCTCTGTTTTACTTCTTGGCAATTTTTTCAAAACTTGTGGGAAGCACTCAATAAATTATTATAGAATTGATAATAAATGAATACATGAATGGATGGTCAGACAGACTGGTGATGGGGCTCAGGACATGCTACCCCCAAATTTTGGCACCGTGGCATACTGAACATCTTAACCTGAGTGTTTGAAAAAATGGCAGAAGGAAGGAAGTCACTCTGACCCCATCCCTTGTCCTTTCCTGAAACAGGTCCTAAATCTCTGCATGAATGGTATCCTCCCTGTACCATGAGGAAAGAGGACATTTTTATTACCAGAGACAGGGAATTTATAGCCAAGAAATCTGTATAAACAAACCTTGTTAATCTAACCCTTATCTTCCTGGTTACCTCTTCACCATTCACTACCCCAGCCCAGACCTCTTTGTCTTGTCAATTCTTCACACATTTATTGTCTTTTTGTGTGAAAGGTATAAAAGCTCCCTGCTCTTATCACTTCATCAGGCCTTCCTTCTCTTGTGAAAGTTCTTGTGTACATGTAAAAGTTCGAAAAAATGTACGTGTTTTTTTCTCCTGTTAATCTTTGTCAGTTTAATTTTCAGACCCAGCCAGAGACCCTAAGAGGGCTGAGGAAGACTCTTTCCTCCCCTATACCCATCACCCCCTCCCTCTCTCTGAATAATTAACATGGTAACACAGGTAATGAGAAATGCTGATGTTACACATTTTCAGACTTTACTAATCCCTGAGTCAACACTATGAGTAGCCCCACTTTTCCGATGAGAAAACTGACTCACAGTGAGGTTAAGAGATTGTCCTGTCTCTTACACAGCCAGTCATGGGGTGCCAGTAGGGATTTGACCAAGGCTTTCTGGCTCTAGGGCCACTTTGGAGGGAAGCTGGGAGAGTTGGAATTTCCAGGCTGTTCTGGAGACTCCCAGGATGGGCCTAAGGCCGGGGCTCCTGCAGGTATAGCTGCCTCTGGTCCAGTTTTGGCCAACAGAAGACAGTGACTTCTCCTGGGACAGGGGCTTGTCTCTGGCTCCCTCATCTGGAAGGCTCAGCTTTGTGAAAACAAAAAATACAAGATTTGGGAACCAGACAAGTGGCTTCAGTCCTCACCGGCAGGAGAGCAGAGACAAGAGGAATTTGCTTCCTGTGGTCGACAGTTTCCGGATCAGCAGATACTATAGGATGAAATACAGAGTACTTCCAAGTGTCTATAAAAGCTGGCCTCCCAGTGGTGAGAAGGTCTGGTGGGAAGCCCCATCTCCTCAGTGTGGCTCATCTGGCCTTTCCTGGAACCTGGCCTTCCTGCCACCCTCCCTCCCAGTCGGTGGCAGCTCAAGCCCCAAGCTGCTCAGGCCCCAAACCTTGCAATCGTGGATTCTTCTTTTTCTCTTGCATCCTGTCCACGAGTGAATCCTGTCGCCTTGCCTTCAGAACATATCCAAGAGCAGCCGCGTTGGGCGAGGCAGTCGCTTGCTTGCTGTCTTTCAAACCCACCCGCTGGGTAACAATGGGCCTTGAGGCTGGAACACTTCCTTCCCAAGAGATAAAGAGCCCACAACAGCCTGTGCTGACCTTGTCACCTCGTGTGGGAATATCTTCCCCTATTTCAAGCCCAGGGTTCGCTCTTTTGTTCTGCTTACACATGCGTGTCATGTGGCACCCGGCCAACCCCACTGCTGTGTCTGTCCTCCGCAGGGAGGGGAGTGTCCTTCCACTCTGGCAGGAGAGAGGGGAGAGTAAGCCAACTGCCCTGCGTCAGTTACTGCTGGCCACGGGGGACCGCCGCCTGCCGCCAAGGCTGATCTGGTCTTTTCTAGGCGTAAGGCGTTGTCCAGCCAGTGACTGACCGCACTGCTTTCCTTGGAGTCTCTGATTACTCTGACAGTGGGCAGAACTGCCTGATGTCCTTCCCTGGAAGGGACAATCGGTGCATGGTGTTCTGCTCAACACGGCCACTTGTCACCACCCCCATCTCTACCTCCCAGCCCAAGCCATCGACACTGTCCTTTTAGAGTGTGAGTCAGATCGTGTCCCATTCTGCCCAAAGCCCTCCAGCGGCCCCTCATCTCACTCAGAAAAAGCCAAAGTCCTCAAAATGACCTACTAGCCCTTTGCTACCTGGTCCCTGATGCCTCTCTGACCTCATTCCTTCTTCCCTCCCTTGGCTCCAGCCACTCCGGCCTCCCGACCGTGCCCAGAAACAGTCTGGCCAGGCACACACCTGCTCAAGCCTTCCTATGAGCTGTTCCCCTGCCTGGAACCTCTCATGCCAAATGGAATCTCCTGGTACTTGGGGCTTTTTCCCCTTGATTCGGGTATCCCCAGCAGCTGGAAGACTCCTAGCTCCCATAGGCTCTTGGTTGCTTGTTGAATGAATGTTTGAACGTCAGTTACGAGACCTGCCGTTTGGAAGGGGGGCACCCCACTGGTGGCCCTCGCTGTCCCCGTACCTCTGGTGGCACTCTTCTTGCAGGACAGCCCTCCAGCTTCTGGGGCCACTGGGCCTGCCTGGTCAGGGAGCCAGAGTAGCCTGGGAGGTTAAGTCACTGTCCCCCAACTCCAGAGCAGCCCTTGGCCAATGACCAGAAAGCCCAGCCCCCACCCCTGCTTGCACCAAGCCAGACGCTGCATTCAGGGTCTGCTTCTGGGGACCCCCACTTAAGACAGGGGCCTTCCTCTGCCCCCCATAAAGATCCAATCGGACTCGAGGGTCTGGGACTAGGAGGAACCGGGGTCTCTGAATATACTCTCCCCTCTGCTTGACACAGGCTCTATTAGCTGTCCCCCCACTGTGGCCCCCCCACCTTTTCATTCCCTTTGGAAATCTGACATATTCACCACATACACACAGGAGCGCGCACAGTGCAAGCCTGCCGTGTGCCAGGAACTGGTATAAACAAGAGAACCGGAACTTGGGTTTTTAGTCCCATGCCCCAAAAGTCATACCTCTCCCCTACCCAAGGCTGCCTCAGCCATGACCTTGAAGGGTCCTTCCTTCTAACCCACACTTCTGTATTTCACTACATATACGCTCATGAACGACATATGATATCGCTTGGACGTTTTTAAATTCATGTGAACGCTCACGTTGAAGATGCCATTCTACAATCTGTTTTGCTCACCATAGGGGGACCCCCGTCAATAGAACTAGGTCTGGTTTATTCACATGAACTGCTGAACCATATCCATAGAATGAATGTACCACAGGTTATTTATTCGTCCCCTTCTGACGGTGAAACTGTTTCTAGCTTTCCTGCAGCTGCAGCCACTCGGTGTCCCTTGGTCCCTTCCCAGGGGTCCCTTTCGGAGTTCTTGCCTCCTGCCAGAGGACTCTTAATGTCTGTTCCCTGAGAGCAGGCCCCAGAGTTGAGCCCTGCGGCCCGCACTCAGCAGTACCACGTACCGAGCCCCAGGAGGGTGGTGGGATTGTGCACTAGGCCTTGATCTCTTTGTGCTGGGGACAAGCCGGGATGGCCTGGGAGAGCCCAGGCCCATGAGGCCCTGAGGTCAACACTCGGTCCAGTCAATGTAGATTAGGACCCTGGCCATGGGACACTTGGGGCTTCTGGATGGGTACCGGTTTCAGTCAGCCCTGACACCAGGACATAGGGTCTACCGGGAAGAGGTCGCCCCTTGCCTACTGACCCCACATCATCACAGGATCAAGGAGCAACCCACCAACTTTGCTGCGGCTTAGGGAGCTTTCCGAGGGCCAGGCACTGCACACTTCATTCATCTCATCACGCCGGGGGCAGGCATTAGCTCTTTTCCAGGAGACACTGAGGTCAGAGACATTAAGCTGCTCAAAGGCACATAGCCAGAAAGTGGCAGAGAGGGATGCAAACCAATACCCAAGTCATCTGATTCAGAGACATGGATGCCCATTGGCCACACCAAACAGTGCCCTCCTCTGCTGGGGCCTTGGCTAGGCCAAAGCTGGGGAGTGAGCCCCTGCTTCCTCCTGCCACAACAAAATGGGTGGCTAAGCCCAGGTTCCCTGCGGGTTCAAAGGAGAAATCTTCTCAGGAATGGCAGGTCCAGGCCCCAGCCTGGCTGGGAGATTAACCATGGCTCAAAACACACCCAGCTGCCGATTCCCCAAATGTGAATGCCATGGCCGTAGGAAGGGCAGCTGGAGGCCGTGGTGGGTCTCAGGTGCTGCAGACACCTCCTGCCTCCAGCCCTGAGGTCCCCAAGCACCAAGTTACCAGGCAGTGAGAAGCACAGGGACCTCACTCCCATGCCGGGCTGCTCCCAGGACTGAGCATCACCCAAAGCTCTCAGAGCTTCCGTGGGTGAGGTCAATGAACTTTGGGCAAGGCCTGGCTCAGGCATGGTTGGACGGGGGCTACACAGAGCCGCTAAGGGAGGTGAGGAAAGAGACCACGGTTCCCAGCCTCAGACCACTGGGGTACCTTGAAGGGAGAGGAGGCTTCAGGGAGTCTGGGACAGGTGTGCACGGGGCTCCGGGCCACTCAGGGCACTTGACTAGGGAGATGGGCAACAGGAGAACACAGTCCAAGAAAGGGGGTGGAGGTCACGAACAGCTCTAGAATGCCATCCAAGGCACGAGGAGGGCGATGCAGCCTGGGCTGTCTCTGGGGTCTGCTCCATTGGCCCCTGCGCTGGGGCCAAAGCAGACTGGCTTCAGTACCCTTGTGGGGAGTGACCCCTGCCCTCCGAGCCTACAAAGGGGTCTGTGGGCGCCTCTGGTGAGTCAATCGTCTGGTAGTCACTGCGCTCCTGTGATGGTCCAAGGAAACCTGAGGGTGGGGGGGATGAGGGGGGAAGGAAAAAACGAAGGGTGAGGACTCAAGGCAGTCTACTGAGTCCCAACCAAGACCCACCCACCCCCCACCAGGAAGGCACTGGGACAATGACGGGGGCAGCAGCCCCCCCCGCCCGCCGGCTTTTAGCAGGTGTTCAGCCAATCCTCCCATAACCCTCCAGAGCAGGTATTTGGGTTGCCCCCACTTCACAGACAGGGAAACTGAGGGTCAAAGAGATGAACTGACTTGCCCCCAGTATGGCGCTTGATGCGGAGGACACTAAAATTCAAGCCAAGGCAGCATGGGCCCAAAGCCAGTGCTCTTGGCCATCACACTGGGGCCTTCCCAGAGCAGCACGCATCTGAGCAGAGGGACGCCCAGCCCTGGCCCACAGGCTCCTCTCCTGGGCAGAGTGGACCCCGAGCTACTGTAACCAGAAGGCCCAGAGCTGGCACAGTTGCAGAGCCCAGAGCTCTGGGCTGGGGGTCCTAGGTAGGGGGGAGGGCTCTAAGTGCCCATGCTCTTTGCTCCCCTCTCTGCCCTGCACACTTGATGCTGAACAAGTCCCAGGGGCTCTGGGCACCAGCTCCTTCATCTGCCCAATGGAAGGAATGTGAGTGACTCCCCGCAACCCCAGGGCATTGCTGAGATCAGCCCTGGGGAGGCCACAGGTGCCTTTTGCCCTGGCCCAGCTGCCCCTCTAGGTGGGTCATGGGCCCCTCCGGGCCTCTCTTCTTGGGAGGGGACAGTGGAAGACCACCCCCACCCTCTCCCCACCTCTCTGAAAGGAGATGAGCAGTATGTGAGAGAGAACAGGAAAATGGCCCAGCCGCCAGGAGAAGGGGGTACAGCTCAGGAGGGTGTGGGAGGGGCAGTGGTGGGCCAGGCTGAGGTGACCGGGACATTAGCAGGGAAAGCACCTGCAGTTCAGGGCCAGCTTCGGCTGAGGCTCCACGGCCCATGCCAGCAGACCCCCTCCCTTGGCCACCCAGACCCCACATGGCAGGAGGGGAGGCTCTAGGCATGGGGCTGAGAGGAGGGGCTGGCCCCGTGGATGCCTACCAGCCTCAGGCTGCAGGCCGCCCAGAGCTGCCTGCGGGACTGGGGCACACCCAGCTGCATCCGTGCTCGGGTTGAGACGGGGCTCTGGTCCTGCCCCCAACTCTGCCCGTAGCCTGATGCCCGGGAAAGCTCACAGCAGGCTGGGATGGGAGCCCTGGGCTCGTGCAGCAGAGACGGGAGTTTGTAGACCTTCTAGCCTGGTCGTCAGTGTCGGCACCCACCTCCCCCACCCCCACGCCTTGAGCCCTCGTCCCCCGGGGCAAGGCCGGCTCACTTGGGCAGGGGCTGTGGGTCAGGCAAGCCAGAGACAGGGGAGACGTGGCAGATGGCGTCGCCAGCACCTTGGCCGGCGAGAGGGGCAGTCAGGGAGCTGGCCGGAGGTGGTGGCCTCACCAATATGGAGCAGGAGCTCACCCCCGCGCTCCCGGTACATGTGGTAGACAAAGCAGCAAGACAAGGGCTTGAGGAGCAGGCTGAGGATGGCCATGCCGGCACCAAAGCGCTCTGTGTCCGTGAAGCCGGCCCGCTGGTAGAAGACGCTGATGTGGACGATGTCCAGGAAGATGGTGGCCGCCAAGCCACCGAGGAACTGCAAGACAGGCCAGGCACAGGGCCCGGGGGGACCATGTGCCATCAGGGTTTATGAGCACCCTGACGCTCCATCACGGCTCATGGCTCCCTTACCACAAACACCAGACTGGAAGCTCCGTTTGTGCCCTCCTGTGTCCTTAGACTTTGCTGGAAAACAGATCAGCAAGCAGGCAGGACCTGGTGGGTGAAACGCCTGACCGAGGACTACAGCACCCAGTGCAGGGATGTGGGCACCCAGGTCTGGACCTAGCCTGTGGCCACTATGAGGCACAAGACTTGGTTCTAGAACCTCTGAAATGTAAGGTCCCTTGGAGTTCACCCAATCCGTCTGCACCACAGGGAACTCCCTTCTTAGTCATCCTGACAGGCCCTGCTGGAGAGCTGGCTGCCCCTCGGGGCGCAGTGGGTGCTGGGAAGCTCCCCCATAGCAGAGCTCAGCGGGGCTGTGTCCACTCTGACCTCACGAAGTACAGCAGTTCCCTCTTCGTGGGGCTCCCTGCTAAAAGAGGGCCCTAGAGGTGGGTTATCGGGGACATGCTCCAGTGCCCTCGAGGAGTGGCCAAGCTGGGGCACTTGGGGGAACCCTGCCCATGCTTCTCTCGGGGGAAGGCACTGAGCAGACTCCGGGCTCCCGGAGCCAGGCAGGCTGAGAAGCGGGCCAGGCTAGTGAAGACACACCTGGACTGGTAGCTGGGGAGGGCTTCTTGACAAGGCTTTAGAAATGGAAAACAGGGGGTGGGGTGGGGGCCCCCTTCCTTGGAAGAGACAGGATTGGGATGGGTCGAGGGGGGTAAGAGGGGGGCCACAGACCACCCCGAGGCCGGTCCCTTCCCTGCTTCCCCCACCTCACCAGACTTATGGCGTCGATGGAGTCCCGCTGAGCGACGGCCCACACACCCACGGCCAGGATGGTGAAGTTGGCCCAGGGATAGGGGCCCGAGAACGTGATGCAGCCCCTGTGGGAAGAGGCACCCGAGTCACGTCAGGTTTCTGGATTCTGAAGTGTTCCCTACAGAGAACGCGTACAAAGCTGTGAAGTGTAGAACCTGACTCAGCTTGATAGTCTTTGTCACCTGACTTTTTGGTTTTAAGAAGCTAGTGTGGGGGCCCCAGCCCAGACCACAACTCAGAATCTTGGGGAGTATGACTGAGAAATCTGTATTTTGACCTTGCTTCCCAAAGTCATTAGCCATGACTTTCACTGTCTGCATTATTCACAACCATTTTACATGTGCAGCATACTTTAAGGTCTGCAAAATGCACACAGAAGCTCAGCGGTTTCCAGTCCTGCTTTGGCAGGGAAATCGCCCCATAGCTCGGCAGGTAAAACAGACAGTAATAATGAAATCAAGCCTGCAATGCTCGAGCCTCCCTCTGTGGCAGGCCCCGGGGAGTGTTGGATGAGCACAACATGCTTCTCCCTCACAGCCCCTGAGGGATGTGCGCTATCCTTATACCCATTTTACAGATGGAAACCAAGGTCCCAAGAGGTGGGCCATTTGCCTAAGGTAACCTGGCTGGACCACAGCTGAGCCAGGACCTGCCCAGGTCCATCTGAATCCCAAGTCTGCCAACTCTGGGCAGGAATGTGATATAAGAAATAGGGTCCACCCCTAAGCAAGTGATCCCACCTTGTATCTTGGGTCATAAAATATCTACTTGCTGAGCTGTGGAGCCAACCCACAGAAGGTGCTCAGCCCAGTGGCTGGCTCCTAGACACCCTCAAGAAATGTTAGTGGTTATTACAGTTTCTAAAACTCGGCTTTCACCTTCCAATGACCTTACAGGCTAAATGGGAGGGTCAGTAATGCACTCATTTTATAAGTGAGAAAATGACTCAGGGAGTCTAAGTGACTGACCCAAGGTCACAGACACACAGAGCTCTAGCCGGCATCCACCCCACGGCTGCCTTGGGGAGTCCAGCAGGCTATGTGAGACGGGCCCCCTGGCTTTAGCACCTCACACCTTCCAGATACAAAGGCCTTGGGGAGGAACCAGAGTCATGCCAAGCCCCCAAAGGGGCCTGGGCAATGTCTGGAGGAGGATCTGAGCTGTGGGGACTGCCCTGGGCCAGCCACCTCCCCTAGGATGAAGGCTTGAAGCTTCTGGGATGGGGGGGGGGTGATGGCAGAGACCTCTGGAAACTGCCTGCCCCTCAGACATTCTTGGGACATGGAGATGCTGATGACATTCTTGACAAAGGTGCTATTTAGTTCTGGAACTGGCCAGGAGACACATGGACGAGAGCCTGGGGGTATATGGACCCAGATCCTGGGAGACAGGTGGACACAGAAGTGGTCACCTGCGGAGTCACTCACCAGGTTGTCAGCAGCCAGTGAACCAGCAGGATCGTCTGGGGGAAGGAAAGAAAAGAACTATGAGTGAGACCACAATCTGGGGAGGGGTGGAGAGCTTCTGGAGCCAGAAAACACAGGAAGCACCTGTCTAGCACCTAACAGGGCTTTACAAATATGTTTAAACAACAACAACAAAACACCAGCAACAGTGAGCGAAGCAGGGGTGAAGGAGGAAGAGTGCAGGTCAGGCCGGGGGAGCTGCCATGTCACTCGGCCCTACTCCCTTGGGGCAGCAGACACCCACACGCCCTCCTGCTTCCCTCCTGCTTCGCAATCTGCTCTGGCATCAGAGGATATACCTGGACAGGGAATGGCTGGGGGGAGGCGTGGGACTCAAACAAGGCTGGTTTCTTGGCACACAGAGCTGGGGTACAGTGTGGGGCACAGTGGTTGTCTGCTACCTGCATCCAAGGAGCAGGAGAGCACCAGGGGGCAGAAGGGGAAGAGCAGGGGGAGGGTAGCGAGGGCCTCAGCAAGGAGGGTGGATTTTTTTCTAGATCTCTACACCATTCTACCCCTTTCATTTTCCCATATGTCCTTAAAATCGCAGCCCCCTTTACTAGAACTTGTCTCTACTCTTGGTAATCAAAAGGGCCCTGCTTGGAAAGCAAATGAAGAAGGAGGGAGCAGATGCTATGGGGAGGGCAGGGCGGCTGTCAGCTGGAGCTTCCGAAGTAGGAGGGCGCTCCTGCTAAGGGATAGGCAGGGACCAGCCAGGCAAAAGGGAGGAGAGCAAGGTGTTCCAGAGGTGGCAGAGGGAATATAAATGGGGAGGAAGAGGGAGTGGACCCACACCAGCAGGGGTCGGGAGTCCCAAGTCAGGAGCTTCCATGGGGGTCCCAATGGTAGATGGGGGACCTTGAAAGAGTTACTCAAGGGATTGGGGGGGGTCAAGCTGGGAGGGGGGATGCCCAGAGCCCGGGGAGGGGGCAGTGTACTGGCCTGAGTGTGAGGGTAGACACGGCAAGAGTGTGCAGTGAACGGCCCAGGCTTCTGGACCGGTGAAAGGGCAGAAATGGGAATTGCCACCTGCAAGAAAGAACTCTGGCTTTGGAGGGAAAAGCCCTTCGAAAAGAGTTACTATTTACTGCACACCTGCTCTGTGCCAAACACCTCACGCCTCCTTCTTTGGGCCCCACGAGAGCCTCTGGAACAGACACCATGATCATTCCCATTTTACAGATGGGAAAACTAGACTCCGAGGAAAATTAAGTTGATCTAGATTCCACCGACGGTGGGGTGAAACTCGAGTTCAAGTGTAAGTCTGACTCCGGTGCTTCCAACCTTCGCAGGGTGGGAGGGCCCGGGCTTTCAGTGGAGGGGAGCCATTGGAGCTTGTGACAAATGTGGACATTTTCTGCACATGGGGGGAGCTGAAACGGCCGGGACGTTCCACCTTGACCCCCCAGGGCCCAGTGCGAGTGAACCAAAAGGGCTCTGGTGCCATGGCCCGAAAGAGAGTCGTTAAGCTGGGAGAACAGCCCTGCAAGGACCAATGCTCCTGACTTTACGGAGCAGCCGAGCCCCTGAGAAAGCCACGTGTGTACTCTACGGAAGGCTGGCGCTAGAAGGGAGCTTCGTGATTGGCTACCTCTGCTCTGGAAGGGAGCTTTGTGATTGGCTACCTCTGCTCTGG